ATCAATGTGTGGACATAAAGTATCATTTTTGATCTGAAATTCTTTTATAAGTTTACTTGTATATTAGGCCTATCTTATAACTGTCCCTATGCCCAAATATGGCTACTTCCTTACTATAGTATGCGGGAAAAAAACGTATGTAAGTTGAGTTGTATGTCCGAATTCATAGTGTTCATAAAACAGAAGGCATAAAGTGACCTACTATTTTTTATGAGACTATATGAAATGCTCATCTGATGGACACTTTGTGAATGGCAGTGAAGCAACACAACTGACACCAGAGGTCACATGATAGTTACAACATGGTGCATGATGTAGTACATGTGAATTTCATTCATGCTACACACATTCATATATAAAACATATTTTTTAACAGTTACAAAGAAAGTTTCAAAACATAAGTAGGACATACTATGCATTATTCGATTTCGGATGCAGTATAGACTATGTCTTAAACATTGGAGAAGGACCTTTTTTTTGGGGGGGGGAGGTAATGGTCTTTTTCTATTTAAAGGATTTAAATAATTAAATAGTTTAAAGTGATTTAAGGGAATAAAGAAATAAAAAGAAGAACAGTGAAAGAACAATCATTTTTTCTAATCAATTTGAACTATTTGCACTATTTTGCACACATTTACTCTTATTCGTATGCCTGATATGTCGAAAATGTGAAATGTTTCTTGTCACGTTACAATCAGTTATGAATTAAATGAATGGCTTAAAACTTTGTATGTTTTTTGGCCATTCATTTACAGTTTTGGGGGCCTATAAAGTGCACATTTTGAAAATGGGTTTCAAAGTGCATGTTTGTGAAAACAATACCATTATCATCTCTGTGTAAACTACAATAACTCAAATTAGTGAAAATGGTGACGTCGTGTGCATATGTATTAAGTGTTCAGTCTTTAGGCGCCTAGTGTTTCTTTAAAAAGTGACATCGCCAACTCCTGGCCTGGGATGCATAATATAGCATTTTTTGTTGTTTTCGCAGATCCGTGGATCATTCTCATAATGTTGTCATCTGTACGTGAAACTTTTCAAAAATGCAAAGGAAAAACTTTTCTGTTTTTAGTAGCCTTTATCATTGTTGTCGTGTATTCATACCCCCCAGTTCCTGGAGAGCCACTGTTCTGCAGAGTTTTGTCGTAATTTGAGAGGACAACACGTGACGTTCTATTCAGAGCTGTTCGTGTCCTCTGTCTCAGAATTATGTTTTTATGGCAGTACTATCAACGCCTAAACACAGTGCCTAAATGAATCTGGGGACAATTCCCAGTTTACAAGTTGTAATTACGAATTCTATGAGGACGTGAATGCTTTTTACAAGTTGGAATCTCATAATTACGGTAATTACAGCATGGCTTGAATGCAGCTTTTAGCGCCAACTCTAATTAAACACACCTGAACCAGCTAATCAAGGTCTTCAGGATTACTTGAAAACTAGCTGTGTTGGAGCAGGTTGAAGCTAAACTCTGCAGGACTGTAGCCCTCCAGGAGGAGTTTGACACCCCTGGCATAACTGATTCAGCCTACATTTTCAATTCAGCAAAATTTCAACGGCAAAATTTGATGAAAAAAAAATGTGATAGTTTGCACCACTATAGATTTTACTTTTGTACATTTAACATTTTTATCATGAAACAGTTGTCAAATATAAAATGTTTAGCTTACATCTTACCTTGCTCTCTTTCACAGTTAAAAAATTGAAGCTTCGCGCTGGATTTTCCCGCCTTCTTTGATTTGATTGGCTATCATATTCATTTAGACTGATAAGGCAGACCTGCCTAAACATTTAACTTTTTTTTTTTTTTTATCATTCTAACAACAAATAAACGAAAGATGGCACCAGTTGGGTTTGTATGAGAAACGAGAGGAAACAAGTCCACAGGATAGACATAAAAGTAGCGCCAGTTTCATGTATGTGGAAGAGGGGAATGATATCGTTTGCACGACGACAGCGAATATTAGGACATCGACCGCTTAGGGCGGCGCAATAAATTCCACCTAGGCCTAGCTGTGTAACAAATAAATGTAAATGTTTTTTTAAATATATTTTAATGACTTTTAAAATATATTTTGTCTAGATTTTGTCCACGCTTTAATAATCTTCAAATAATGCGAAACTAAACGTTTCAGATAATGTGCAATGGTTTTCTTTCAACACAAAATCAATAATGCATATTGTCTTGTTAATGTCTTAACCTTACAACTCTTACATAAAACTGGGGCAACAGCACTTTTCTCTTAATTCTGTAATAACAAATATGAAACCTATTGCTTGTAATCTAACTTCCCTGGCTCCTTCATTTTGAAAATAAACATCTTTTTATGAAATAAATCATTCCATATGCTCAGCTCTTCTGATCTCAGCATGGCAATGACAGCGCATCAGGTCAAACTCAAGTCAAATGAGATTGATTGGAATGGCTGTGTTAGAATTAGAATGTGATAATATGTATCTAAAAATGAACCATGATAAAATCTACATGCATACAAAACGCATTTCCAGTACCTTTCACCGTTTAAACTTTGTACAGGTTGGGTAATAGGAAAATGCATTGTTTTTATTGAATAGGCTGTACAGAGAGAGCTGGCCCATAACCCATCTGTTTCAGCTGTTTTTGCAGTCAATTTCAATCAGTGTATCTCTACACTTTCCTGTCCTGGGAAAGTAGCCACTGGTGGAACATTCTCTGCTCTTTGTGTAGGTCAAAAGGAATGACTCTGGGGACCCACTGTGTTCCAGTTTCGTTACGCATGCTAAAACTATGTTCAAAAAGGGAAATGTTCTACTAAAAGGAGGAAAGGAATACATGTCCTCTGTAACCTTGAACAAAGTCCACTGTAACAGTTAAACTCTCTTGATGTCTTCATTCTACTGAGGTGCAAGAACTATTTTGAATAGTTTAATGAAGATAAATCACCAAGATGTTAACTCTCATTTTTAGAGAAGAATGTTTCAGAGAGAAGCTTGGCGAGACACTGCAGGTGAATAGGGTAAAAAACAATTAACTACTAATTATCACCTTACTTACCCAGTTGATTGATTACATTGATAATTGCAAACATTTTTTGTATTACAAGTTTTGTAAAATGTTATGTTTAAATATGCAAATGATGCATTATTTAATGAAATATGCGCTAATTTGCATACATTTATAGTACAAAAATCTGAACACTGGATGAAGTCAGTTTCAAAATTCTTGTTTATTTTAATTTTTTTGACATATTAGAGGCAAATGTTTTTTTACAGAGGTAATTCTGGGTATCTCTTTTTGTCACTCCATAATTCAGAAAATACTTTGAACAGCCAGAAAACAACATGTTTTCACAATTTTGGGGGAAATAAAATGTTGTATATAATCAAGCAAATTATATATATATACAAATCCCTCTGTAAAAAACCTTCAGAATATAGACAGGAATAAAAATGTAAAGTTTGGTGTGTGTAAGTGCTACTGAAGTGGAGATTTATGGCTCAGTGTAGGAGAAAAAACTCATTTTGAGAAAACGGCCTTTAAAAATATGTAACTGAAATCTATTGACACAAATAAAGTGCTATAAAAGAAACGCTTAACAGTGTCTTTTGGAGGTTTTCTTTCCACTAGTCTGAAAAAACACTTTATGAAAAACCAAAAAGCCCAAAATCTCAAAATAGACAGGTGCATGAAAAAACAGTGCTTTTGCCTGCAGTGCCTCCCCTTAAAAATAAACAGTACAGTATACAGTTAAATATCACAACCTTGTTTATTAATCTCCAGAGATTAACAAACATCATATCAACAACAAATCATGAAGTAACAGACTATACATAATTTAATGCTGCGAAAAAATACTTTTTTGTTGCTCCTCAAGGAGGACTTTATCCTTTTGATTCATAGCCAAGATCTTACAACATTTGAATAATTAAACCATTATTAACACTTTATCATGTTTTTAGAAATGTTAACAAATATATAAGGGTTCCAAAAGATGGAAGACTATGCTAGTAGGGAAACTGAAGGGAAAGTGGTTAATTTAGGGATTTATTGGGTGTTTTTTATGGATGTGTCATTTTTGACAGTTCAGAAAACATCATCATATTATTCGTTAGAAGGCGTGGCCTTACCCTCTCACGCCTTGTATTATGTGATATCTTTCATAGCACACACCTTAATGTGAATGTTAAATCTCTGGCCTAGATTTTTTGAAACCATTCACACATGCGTTTTGACAAAGCCTATGTTAAAACAGCAGGGATCAACAAACCACAACTCAGCTGAAGGCAAATAAAAACAACTTTATTCAAAGCACCATAAAGACTGATAATAAATGCATTTTAAAATGGTCAGCACGCATGTGCGTTGATGTAAAAAATAAGAGATTTTCAGTAGAGAAATAACATTTCACTTTGGCTTTTTGCTCATTGAACTGAGCCTGGCATCTTCAAATCCAGATCGGATAACTATACATATACATATATATATATATTCAATGCAGAAGCTTCTATTACCTTTCTGCCCCTATATTTCACCATTTAAAATATTGCCGGTTTTCGCTGAATATTAATAATAGTATTATAATAATTAAAACTAATAAAAGTATTGTTCTTCTTCTTCTTGATATAAAATATAATAATATATTTAACAATATTTGTTAATTTCATTACAATTTTCATAAAAATGCAAACTGTAATTTCTATAGAATTACTTTCAAATTTAAAAAAACGTATGTTATGTAATTACTGTGAATATTGTAAATATGCATATAGTTTAACAACAACCCTTTTGAATGCGCATTAGCAATGATCTTATCAGCATTATATAACGTAATGGTGACATTTGTATGATTAAAAATATTATAACATTAGTTTTCATAAATAAATGAGCATCCTTACAGCTATTAATTTCCCATCCGTCACCTCCCTCTCTATCGTCGACTCTTTGCCATCCGTCAGCACGCATGTGCGTTGATGTAAAAAATAAGAGATTTTCAGTAGAGAAATAACATTTCACTTTGGCTTTTTGCTCATTGAACTGAGCCTGGCATCTTCAAATCCAGATCGGATAACTTCATGCCTCCTTCACATATGTCCTCACAGCCACCACATCACCCATTATGCATTTCTGTCAAAAGAGGAATATGGTTATAAAATTAACTGAGAAAGCACTCAAATAATGAAAAATTAAAAATTACTAAAAGGCTTTGATCTAACATTCTGTAAATTTACAACTATATTATATTGCTAACTTTTATTTAAGGCTAACAGCCTTAAAATTATTATATTTGAACAACTGAGAAAATTATAATTTAATGATAAACTTAAAAAAAATAAGATTCACATTCAGTTAAATATTCAGGGTTTTTCCATTATATATTTAATTGAAAATTCTGCAAATTCTAGCAGAAGAAATAATTTTGAATTAAGAATATATATATATATATATAATTAATTTCCCATCCGTCACCTCCCTCTCTATCGTCGACTCTTTGCCATCCCAGGTCTGTTTCTGCACAAGTTTGCCGTTGTCAAGAGTCACGACAGTCTGCAGATAAAGAGAGAGAAGAGCCCGTTAACTTCAAACGATAAACAGCTTCAAACCACCACGTCTATTCCATTACAAACCGTAGTTTTTCTATCATCCGCCGTGATCTCCTCAAATGACTCGTTGAGGTTAAATTTGATCTCGGTAGTTTTGAAGGTGCTCTGCGACTTCATGCATATTTGCCCCTGATCATCCACACACACGATCAGGTTGGGCTTAGTCCGGTTTCCCACCTGACGAGTAGCGAAACCCACACCTGAAAAAGGAAAGGCACTTCTTTCAGTCACGAAACACCTTTGTATTAATGACCATCAAAAATATGAGAATCCTAACCTACTGCACATTAATAATGCGCATGTTAAATCTTAATTTCCAAAAAAAAAAAAAAAAGGTTTAACATTTCTTTTGCAACATGTAAACTGAAGAGACTTGATAAATAACAAGCATTTGCATTAAGTTATTAAATTATGAAGAATCATACCTAGAGCCTTCATGTACTCGTCAAAGTTTTCGCTGGTGGTCATCTTCCATGTTCCCACGAATTTGTCAACCATTTTTCCGGATGATGATTCTTGTCACTCAAGCAACAGCTCAAAGCTCAGATTTGATCTGATCTGATCTAATGACTGCGGGCTTTTTCAACAGCTCCTCCAGCACGTGCATGTTCACACCAGCCAATCAGATGATCCAGCGTCACTGTGCGGAGTTCCTCAACCTCCCCTCCCGCAAACGCAACTCAGAACTGGGGAAGGGTTCACATTTTTCGGACCACAAAAACGGTCAAAAAACATTTACTGGATCAGAGGACAGCAATCGCACATGGTTAGACTGAATATTTTTAGAATGAAGTGTTTGACCAAATATGAGACGAAACATTTTCTGACCGAAAAGATGACCTTTCCTCACAGTGGCTGAACACACAAGATGCATTTTTACGTTAATAACTACGTAATAACGTAATTATAACTAGGAAGATAGACTTTTAAAATTTTGTAGGAATAACAAGCATTCAAGAATAATTTAATAGCAAATGAATTCACAGGCATATTTTTCACATAAATATATAATATAATCATATATTTATCATATAATAATATGATTTGGATATAGAACAAGAAAACTCCTGCTTCAAATTCTACGCATATTTGGACACATTCAGAATGGAATAGTAACATGCTATTTACTGGATACTGTGTGGATACTACTCTTTAAAAGTAACGAAAGGTGTGTAATAATAACATATCAGTTAGCATCCTTTCAGCATTTTGTAGGTTTTACAAAATCCAGCAGCAGAAATTCTTCAGCACTAAATGTTATGCATTAACTACCTGAATGTAATGCAAAAATAACCTACAGATTTGTTTGGTCAAATCAGATTCACATTTCCACACAACATTGAGCAGAAGTAGAGATTTTCCTGTGTCTGAATATAGAGGCCTGTCCCACCAAAACTGTTGAGGACAAAGTGAGAGTCAACTCACAAAGACATGACAGATAACAATTTTATTACACATCCACAGACATATAAATACATAACACAGAATAGACTACTTCTTGTCTCCTGCTTTAGCTTGAGGATCTTTAGCACTGCATCGGGTCTGTAAGGCTGAGAGCATTTCTTGAGTGGTTAGTTTGGATCCCTTCATCACCAGCCTCTCTCCATCCACTGCAAGAGACCACAAAAACATGCATTATACGTCATAAAATGACACTATGCCGTACAGAAGACTACTTCTTGTCTCCTGCTTTAGCTTGAGGATCTTTAGCACTGCATCGGGTCTGTAAGGCTGAGAGCATTTCTTGAGTGGTTAGTTTGGATCCCTTCATCACCAGCCTCTCTCCATCCACTGCAAGAGACCACAAAAACATGCATTATACGTCATAAAATGACACTATGCCGTATGCTCCTCTGCAATATTGAATTTACAGTTCAGTCACTCACAAAATGTGATGTCAATCGTAGGCTCTGATCGGTCATGCTTTACATCTGTGATAACTTCACAGTTCCTATTTGTGACTCTGGCTTTTTCAGACCCGACCATGACGAGAAACTCCCTGCAGGAAGGAAGCAGAGATAAGAAATGCAAGAGATGTGATGGAATGAAGAGGCTTTTTGGGATCTGCGAGTTATGCAGTGTGGCTGACTTATGCTTTTAATTATACATTCATAAATTCACATTTCATTTATGCAACAAACACGTGAGGAATGAGGGATAAGAACCACTGTCGTGACAGCTCACAATAAATATGTCATCGATACGAAGTGGCCAGTTTGTCATCAAAAACAGATTAAAGAGCCATTTAGGATCGCTTTTCCCAAAGGTTTAGAATAATTTCATGGCAGATGATTTTACTGACATAATTGCACACTAAATCACCATTTGGATCCAGAATAGGAAATTTGGAATTTCCTGCTTCAGATATTACGCATGTTTGGAACGGCATACTAGCTTGCAATTTACAAAAACAATATACAGTATAAACTGTATATTCTTCTTAGTATAGCAAGTCAAACATTTTTCTATGGTAAACATTTCAAACATTAGTATGCTACGTGACCTCATCACAGTATTTGCAAATGGCATATATTATTTTCAATACAATTTGCCAACTGTGCACAGTTTACAAAGTATATTCTGCAAGAATAGTACGAAAATACTAGTCCGATCGTTCAAAACAATTTGACAGCCTGCTGCATTTACCGCGTTTAGACTGACAGAGGCGCCAGAGGACAAAAGCTAACATAAGACAGTTCAAGCATCAAGATCGATGCTGTTTCTTCGCAGTATCATAAGCACGTTCATAGAATGTTTAACAATCATTTTGCGTATTGTCGCACATAATCTGCATATGCTAGTGCATGTTAAATGTCGAGTGTGGAGAACAGTCCAGAAGTGGCGAGTGCTGCTGTGCACGCTGAAACCGAGAAACATACAGTGACACCTAAATAAGTGTAATTTGCATCGTATACTTCGTCCTTATGACCGCAGGTACAGGAGGAAAAACTGCTCCTGAAGTCATGATCATGCACAAGATTTACTTTACCAGACAGACCTGTTCAACATTAACCACGATCACTTAAAGTAAGTTACATCGAGGTATGTACAGTATTCTTACCTTGTGGAGCGAACATTAAATTCAAAGGGGCAAAACTGTACAATAATTTTCTTAACCGTCTTTAACACTACAGCTCCCCCGGACGCCGCCATCTTTCCCTACATGACCTTTCACCTGCTGATGACGTATGCAGCCGGGCTCGTCAACATTTATTTTTATTTTATTTATTTATTTTTTTAGTCATTTAGCAGACGCTTTTATCCAAAGCGACTTAAAAATGATAAAATATGAAAGCATTTTAAAAAGTGCGATGTTAAAATAAATTAAATGTCCAATAAAAAACTATGACAAAATACGAACGCATTGTGTCAGAGGGGAATATGTTCATTTTCACCAAAGCCATTGATTTTTTTCCCCAAGCAAAAAATACAAAAAAAATTAGGCTCAAAATGACTAATTCTATGCTTTCACATATACTTTTTGTAATTTATTTTTTATTATATTTACATTATATTTAATATTTTACGTCATTTAATCATTTATTTATCTATTTCTTTATTTAAATTCTTACATAAAAAAATGTAAAACATACTTTTCCCGTCAATATAACATCTACGTATATGTACGTAGTACATATAGTATGTACTTTTATTTTAAAAGGAGCTGTGTCTGTAACATCAAATGCATTAAATTGATTTAATTAAATTATCTGTAAATCTGGGATTTCTGCTTGCTAAATATGTTATTTACAAAACATGAAACACATCCAGTAGATGGCGCAAGTGGATAGTGTATTTATTATTTAGTGTGCCACTCCAAGGTTTCTTCCATATCATTTTCTGTTGAGTTCATTCAGTTCATTTCCATAGATCCATCTTGCTAAATCTTCCTTTACACACCCATGCATAATCTGTTGGACAGTCGTCAATATTAATAAAACGCACTTTCAGGAAGTGCATTTTAATAATAAAAAATATTTGTTAAAATGCACTTTCAGGAAGAAATCATGTTGATCACGTCATATTATATCAATAATCAACCAAAGAGCCTAATGTAGTATCAAGATGATTTCCACAACTTACTAGACTACAGCCTTTTGCAATTATGTGCCATCAATAATTGCTTTTTACAGAACATACTCCTACTGTGACATTTTGTACACTCCCGCTGCATGTAGTAAGAACAGAAACATGACAGAGTTGAAATTGAATGCCCTGTCCTTGTGAATTGATTTATCTAGGGAGTTTGAATCCTCAAACCGACGAGCACAACAAAATACTTGTAGCTATTTCTGACACAGATGGGTAGTTAAAGATACATCATGCTGAAGAACATCTAAGCTGAGCTAAATTTCAGAAGTATATACAGACATAATCTGTGAAAGCCCTTAAAACTTAAGTTATGAATATTTTAATATGCTCATATGACTATGAGTGTTTTCTTATCAATTTTAACAGTAAAATGAACTATATTTCAACCAGCACACACATACGAAACAAATTTAACGGAGATCATTTAGATACATATATTAATACTTTTATTTACAGGCCTACATAACTCTGCAATATATTAGTCCAAAATAAATGATGTACATTATCATGAACAATATCAATATTTGTGCCTTAGGGCTATTTATTATTGTGACACTTCTACAGCTAAATAAATGTGCACACTAATAAAAAATGTGTGTATATCGTCAGCACTGAGTCAGCGTGCAGTTTTTCACATAAATCAATATTACTGTTTTGAGGAACTAACAAGTCGACTACTTCTGATGGTGCCAAAAACATCTAGTCACGTACATACACTAAAAACAAATGCTGGGTTGTTTCAACCCAACTTTGGGTCAGATATGGACTAAATTTAATTTAAAAAATGTAACCCAACGGTTGGGTTAGTCCATATTTGACCCAAAGTTGGGTTGAATCAACTCAACATTTTTTTAGAGTGTATGCACTAGTGTTTTACTAAGGCCCAGCTCTCACGCTTCTGATGACCAGAGTGTTTCTTTCCTGAACAGCTAAGCACACAGTTGTGGTTGCACATTAGAACTATATTTAGACACTTAGCTTGAAGGGTGAACTTCCTATCAAGCCCTTTCTAAAAACAAGTTTCTCTTTTCCTTACTGAAACAATGACAACGATTACTCCTGCCACCATTTAATCAAAAATTAAAAAGGCTACAAGCACTGAAGCACAAACAATAAGGTAGAATGCTCAAGGGAGGGGTCGGCATTTTATAATGCATGTTAAAAGTCATTTTGGTATTGCTGTCATTACTTCTTGTTCTAAGTATAATTTTGGATATTCCCCAGGAAGTCAAGCATACTGTGTTTAGAAAGCAGGCACTAAATGAACTGAATAACAATGTATTATTATTATTATTATTATTATTATCCTATAATCCTATACTATCCATGCAATCCTGTACATATTCCTTTTGAATTGTTCAAACTATATATTTCAAAAATATGCTATATATAGCATATAAAACACAATATGCTACAAACTACAATATAGAATATTAAGTTAACTTAAACTAAAGATAATGTTCAGTTAACCTTTGTGTTGTGTTCAGAACCCTTTCACACTTACGAGGTTACAGAGCAAAAAAGGCACTCCCTCAAAAAATTGCTTATAAATCACTCATTATGCTATATTATCACCCTAGAACACCACAAGTGTGACTTTGTGCCATTTTGTACAAAATAAAAGCCTTTCAAAACAAACTCCCTGATTAAACATTAAAGTACACTAGTGTGATAAACAGTGCAAATTTTCTTCAGTTTTTATTTAATATTGTGAAAATTATTCATAAATAATGCTTTTTTCACTCAAAAAATGAGGTGCCTACTCTCAGAAAAAGTAGGCCTACGATTAATCAGAAGCAAATATAAATACAAAACCAGTCCTAAATGAAAGATAAGAAGTTGACAAAAAGATTGAATCCAATCTTTGTTGATAATATAGCATAATGAGTGATTTATAAGCATTTGCTTGAGGCCGGGTCATTTTTGCCCTGGAACGTCACAGATGTAACAAGGTGAAAAATCTCCCCCAGAAAAGTATGAAAATGATCAAAAATTTTTTTAGAAGTAGTTATACCCTTTGTGAACGAAGTCACAAAATTTCAGTCCAATGCGATAACATTAACTAGTATTTAGTAGAAAAAGAAAAAATTTTCAGAGCAAAAAGGACCCGAACACCACATGAGGGTTAAATGTTTCTCTGTCCTTCTTACATTAACATCTTACATAATGTTAAGTCAAGTTAAAATGTAATGTACAAGTAAATGTCTTTGTAGCCTATATCAATAAAGATTACTTTAATGGCCTTGCAGAGTAAGTAAGCAATTAAGTATGAAAATACATTAATATGGAACTAGACACATTATTAAAGGCCTGGCTTAATAATAGTTCATCCAAAAATCAAAATTTGCTGAACATTTACTCACCCTCAGGCCATTCAAGATGAAGATGAGTTTGTTTCTTCATCAGAACAGATTTGGAGAAATGTAGCATTACATCACTTGCTCACCAATGGATCCTCTGCAGTGAATGGGTGCCGTCAGAACGAGACTCCAAACAGCTGATAAACACATCACAATAATACACAAGCAATCCACAAAACGGCAGTTCATTAATTAACGTCTGTTTGTAAGAAACAAATCCATCAAGATGTTTCTTCTGACCAAAATATGAACCCTCTATCTATAATATTGCATTCTCCAGTGAAAAAGTTGTTTGATCTGACTCAGGAGAGAACTATGCACAGATCAAACACCATTTACAAGCGGTCCAAAACAGTTCTAAACAAACATGGGGATGGACTTTCTCACTGGAGGAAGTGTTACTAGGGTTTATGGACTCATATTTTAGCCAGAAACAACAGTCTTATTGGGTTATTGTGATGTTTTTTTTTATCAGCTGTTTGGACTCTCATTCCAGTGGCACCCATAAGAATCCATTGTTGAGTAAGTTATGTGATGCAAACTTTCTCCAAATTCACTCCGAAAAAAGAAACTAACTCATCTACTTCTCAGAAGGCCCAAGATTGAGTACATTTTCAGCAAATTTTCACTGTTGGGTCAACTATTCTTTTAAAATGCAGCACTCAATTTGAAAAATGCAGAGAAGGGTTAAAGATCCCTGAAAGATCCATAAAATATTGCTATTTTTAAAACATAGCCCTATTTATTCATTTTCACATGCCATCCACACACCATCCACACACCACAAACTGAAAGCAGCCACTTGCGCTGCTGTTTCAGTGGCCGTATGAGCAGAACTACAGCTCCCGTGACACATTGCGCTGCTGGGATCTGTCACTCCACCCCTCTGCATCTGCGAAGTGTAGCGGAGGATCGCGGGCACAGACTTACAGCAGCGCCGGACCGGTGTGGTATGTGTGTGGTACACATCGCGGTGCTCACTGCAGTTCTCCAGCCTCACTGGCACTGTCCTCTGTGATCGGTTTTAAATACGGCTTGTTGTTTGAGTGCTGCTGTGAGCTCGCGGAACCTGCGCTGATCATATAAACTCGAGAGCGGAGAAACAGCTGATCCACGGATGGTCGTCTGAGGTAAGTGGTCCTTTAATATCAACCCACCCGAACATTGCATGACTGGAAAAGTTGCGCGGAGAGAGAAATATCTGTACTGAGATCGAGCCCGTTAAGACTGTGAACTTCTCTCCTGTATTTTGTGTGGCGCGCGTGAGAGAGGACAGACGGACACTGTATCTGAGTGCTGCTTATTTATACGACGAAATTCCCTGCATACCGATTGAGGGAAAAGTGGAATGTAATGGAATGATATTGTAAGTCTTAAGATAATTTGGTATCAGAGTTTTAAGCATATTAGTGACGCGAGTCATCTGTTGATTTCTCAGTTGTGTTCCTGAATATGAGACATGGGATATTTAAGCACAACTAACGTGATTTACCTTAAAAAATAATTAATCCAACATGTAAACAATAATCTAAAGACAGTGAGAGCCATAGTTCCATAGATTAAATCCTTTGCCTATGCATATAAAATAATGTGTTCATATATGAGATATAGTTTGAGCATACTTTTTATTATCATTTTGATTTAATGGCTCTAAAAAATGTCCAGTGGTTTAATCATCCAATAAAAAGTACTTAATACCTTTCAATACATGAGTGTATGTTTCAGAAATGTTTTCATATTTTTCAAGATAATTACAAAAACACTTTAAAAAAATCTTTATAATTTTAATTTTAAAGGGGTCATATGATGCGATTTCAATTTTTCCTTTCTCTTTGGAGTGTTACCAGCTCTTGGTGCATAAAGAAGATCTGTAAAGTTGCAAAGACTAAAGTCTCAAATCCAAAGAGATATTCTTTATAAAAGTTAAGAGTCAACCACGCCTACCTAAAACTGCTCGTTCTAACACGCCCCCACATATCTACGTCACGATGTGGGAAGATTTGCATAACGCCGCCCAAATGTTCACGCAAAGAAAGAAGGCGTAACTTTTATTCTCACTGTAGTATTGTTGCTGCCGCTGCCGCGTCGTGAAGGCGCTGTGTGTTTCAAAAGAGGACGATATCCGCTTCGTCATGCCTGGAGCTGATCCGTGCTGGTCGCGGAGGGTATGGTTGCTCCGTTTTATGAGACCAAAATATGCGATTTCAAAAAAGGTAATAAAATATGTTATCATGTTTTTTCATGGTATGGTACAACAAAGCATTGTCAGAAATTTTTTATTGTTCGAGCTTTGGACTATATATATATATATATGTATATATTAAGCCCCACAAATTGTCAAAATTACTTTTCTTTTTCTTCAGAATTTCAACACGTTCATTGTTCATCAGTAGTATATTAAAGTAATTTTAAGCCGGTCAAAACAAATGAGCATCACGTCATATTTATACTTTTATGATTTGATCAAAAGGCGAAGACCTTTGGTTTGTGTAAAAAGTAACTTGTGTAAATAAAATGTCAAACATATATAAATACCTTTGCTAAGGAAACAGCACTGGACGTTCTAGTCTTCTTCAACTTTATCTTAAACAAATAGACAGATCTTTTTTCCGCATGCTCACTTTATACAACTGATCTTTAACCTTTAATTTTCCTGGTCAGAATAGTGCTAAAGATAATGCCCTCAGTTAGATTCACGCGATGACAAAGGCTAAACACATCACACATAACTTATCATTAAATAGTTTATCTGGCAGATGGTTATCTGCAAGTCAGCAAAGTCTGTAAATATCAGAGCACTGTAAATGTACCCTCTCAGCACAAAATAAACCCATTGCGACATGACAGCTATGAAGGCAGACACAGCAGGTTTAAATAGGATCACAGTGTATTGTCTTAAATCCATTGGTTTCCCAGCATCTAAGAGGCATCTAGACACAAAAACAGTTGGATTGAGGTGAAACACTCGGGACAGAAGCCCTGCCTCACATATTTATTAGACAGATAGTGTTTTCCTGGTTGGCTGAGAGTAGCTTCAGGCTCCATTCCACTGCTAGCACTTTCAGCTCTGCAGCAGTGGCAGGTTTTACTCTCTGTCTGCACCTGTCCTTTACACTGGAGTTTCCTCAGACTGATTTTTGTATAGCAGAATTCAGATTTCATGCTTTGGTACAACAAAGCATTGTCAGAAACTTTTTTTTATTTTTGGGATAGGAGTCTGTTCTGACCTTGAAGCTGTTTCTCAAAACTGAAGCAAATGAGTTCCAGTAAAAAAGGCTTCTGAATTCAGGATATATCGGTTAGCATGGCTCTGGCTCATAAATGTCAAAAGAAAGGGTGGGAGTAAAAGAGAGTGAAGGTTCCCTCAAAGGGTTTGAATCTTAAATGGAACAGAACTAGTTTGAACTGTGAAGTCTTAAGCTGTTTTTGCTATTGAGAAAATTCTGATTGGATTCATGGATGTTTCTACAGCTGTGGCTGAGTTCTGTAGGGGGTTGTGCTAAATCCTGTCAAATGGGGCTTTTGGGATACAATGGGGATACCGTGATCTAATGGAATATAATCCCCAATGCGTAAATGGATATTCTGTACATTATCATTGCGCTTAAAGAAATAGTTCATCCAAAAATGAAAATTTGCTGAAAATGTACTCGCACTCAGGTCATCCAAGATGTAGATTACTCTGATTGTTCATCAGAACAGATTTGAAGAAATTCAGCATTACATCACTTGCTCACCAATGGATCCTCTCTGCAGTGAATGGTTGCCGTCAGAATCCAAACATCTCAATTATCCACACAATTCCAGTCCAATTAATGTTTTGTGAGGTTAAAATGTGTATTTGTAAGAAACAAATCCATCATTACATTTTTTTTACTTCATTCTGTTGCTTCCAACTGAAATATGAGTCCTCTATCCATATTATTGCTTTCTCCAACTTGTCGAATCAGAAGTGAAATAATAAAGCAAAAAAAACCTCCAGAACAACCGGGGATGAACTTTTTCACTGGAGGAAGCTTACTTGTGGATTATTGTGATGTTTTTATCAGCTGTTTGGATTCTCATTCTAATGGCACCCATTCACTGCACTGGTGAGCAAGTGAAGTACTGCTAGCGTTCTCCAAATCTGTTCCAATGAAGAAACAAACTCGTATACATCTTGGATGGTCTGAAGATGAGTAAATTTTCGGCAAATGTTCATTTTTGGGCAAACTATTCTTTTAATGTTATTGCTCAGCGCACGTTGCTAAGATACACAGCAGGAGATGAGATGTGATGTTCAGTGTGAGTAAATTGAATAAAACCAGATGTTCTGCTAATGATCATTAAGTAACAAACAAGCAGGATGCAAACATCTGAGCTGCTTTGATTCAGTGAGAGTAGAGAACGTTCGTGCAGGTAGGTCAGTGATGCGAATGTCAGTGACCCAAGTCTATCTGTAGTCAAGGAAACAGGAAGCACTAGAATTCAGTGTTTCTCATACAAAAGTATTGAGAAAACGTTTGCAGACTGAAACGTTTCTGAGAACAGCATACCAACAATAGCTGAAATGATTCATCGAGTTATAAGAAGTTATAAGAACTGTTCTGATGAAACAGTTTTGCATCCTAAATAACCCACTGTAATGCTGAAACACAGAGGATGAGTGTTCAAGCACTAAACAAACAAAAGTATATTCATGGTTTCACATTAACTGGGTGATTCTTTATTAAGGGGAACTTTCCTGTGCATTATGAGGATTAAAAAACAAAAGAATCATTCTAGTTTTAAATCGCTTTCAGCTATTTTATGTGTTGTTGTAAGAGTGTTGAAGAGTACATTTTTATCAGAATTTTGTACTTGTCCTCCACCAGAATTTTTAGCTTCCATTTTATATTTCTAAAAAGTGTAGAAGAAATCTACATTTTCTGCACTTTTCCCATTTTTTTTTTATTTGTGAATAATCACAGTATCAGAAACTGCTGTTGCATGGCAAGCATTTTAGAGAACTATTTAAGCTAAGCTCTATCTAGCTACTACTAGCTAGATTCAAGTGATTATTACGTTTTGAATATGGATATTTTTCTTACAAAAACGCATCGATTCGCTACAGGAGGCCTTTGTTCACCCCCCGGAGCCGTGTGAGACACTTTTTTTTTGTGGAAGGGTGCTTTTTATTTCACGTCTTTTGGACTGAAGCAATGCAACACCCGCTGAGTCCCTTTAACATATAGTAAAGCATTTATTGAACATGTTTTAACTGACCCAAGACACATGTGAGATACGTTATGGTTAATGCTGTTTGTCATGTAATATTTTAGTCCAATGTTGTCTAGATATAATTTTATTTTCTAGATCATGCAATAGCAAAAGTGTTTCATTCTTGAAATGTAAGGCCATTGTGACTTTTTGTTTCTATGTACAAACTTTCCTTTGTAGGTGTGTAATATATATTGCTATAGTGACTTTGAATGTTTTGCCCTGAGAAGAACTACAATGTCTGCATGACACACCAATCTAAAACTCATTTATGACACATAAAACATTAAATTATGGGAAGCCATTGTTTCACTCCTGAATCACGAAATAAATGTGGCCAATTTCTCTTGAATGCTGTGTCGATAAGATGTAACTCTGGAATGTCGATTCGCCACTTCGATCTGTTTTTTACGTGAAGCTGACAGCGTTAGCTGTCATCAGACATGTTTGGCCGGTCTCCGACACAACAGGGCTTGTCTGATCTTGTCACACTCTGTTATCGAACGAGGGGGCAATTGCAATTTTCTCAGGATAACAGGGAGGTACGTTTGATTGTTGTTTTGTTGACTGCACTCACTCGCTCTACGCCGCTCAAATAGAAATTACTTCCTGCTGAGGAAGTGTCTGACTCTTTCACGTAAACAGAGCAAATTTAATTAAACCAAATTATCAGAGTGGTGCTGGGAAATCAAAGGCTTCTGGAGAGCGTGTATAATGTGCCACATCAAGCTCACCCTGTGTGTCATTTGCCTCTGTCCCGTAGTGGGTGGTCATGCTGCAGATAACTGGACTATTAGAATAATGTCACATCCACTCATGACTTCAGTCAGCTGTATTACAAAGCCACAGGCAATCACAGATTATGATTAACGTTTTGTATTCACACGATTCA